GTTACTAATGTTTATAACATTAGAGTAATTATAATGTTTATAATAAAAATAACCATTGATATTCATAGCACTCGTAAAAATACATTTTCCCGCCAAATGAAATCCAGTAAAGCAGAGCCATCTAGTGTAGAGAAATTTCATTAAAAAATATAAAAAATGAACACAGCATTTCCCCCATTTTTTGTTCATTTTTACCCGGCGCGAATGGGTTAAAATAAAAATAACTATAAAGAAGTATCATTCTGCTATGATCTGGTTGACATGACCATCTCATCATGAAAGAATTTGGCTTGAAGGCCAAGTGACACATAACAAAGGTTATATTACAAAAAATTGAATATAGAAAAAAAAAAAAATAAATAAATAAATAAATAAATAAATAATAATAATAAATCATGACACAGATAAAAAACGTTCCTCATTGTTATTATTCTTGCACTAAGTTATGGACTACCTGTGCAAGGAAAACAAACTCCATATATGGATAACACAAATCAAATGACAAATATGGACATTAGAAAACGCAAAAAAGCTAAAAATGTTTATGCACAAAATGAGAAATAACACAGCAAAGGGGAGGCATAGAGTCTTGTCACTGCGCACGAGTGTTCGGGTGTGCCCGGCCAACAAACCGCACACCCATTAGAGCAGCTGCTCATGCAAGCCTTTTGCCCATAATTTTGGCCTTGTGATTGCCATGAAGTAACTGGATCCAATGGGTTAATAATATAAAATAATATCCCACCTTCAGGAAATGGGCCAGTGCAATGTTGGCGGCTCTGGCTTCCACCGGATTCTCCTTGTAATGCTGCACAATGTAGGTAGCCACCAGCTCAACCACTGAACGGACCTCTGCCTGGTACTCTTCACTAAACCGCTCATTACGAACCATCTGCAGGAAATTTGAGTTTGTTCAAAGGAAGATCTATGAACAAATAAATTCTTTGTGTAGTACAATCAGAGATATTTAAAAATATATTACAGTCCTGCATAGCAAAACAATGTTTACCTTTTATCACAAAATAAAAAGACAACATAAAACATATAAAGTAACACATTAACACATTTTTAACTTTCAGAAAAACTGTCTAATAGAGAAAATCTAATGTTTTACAAGAAGAGAAGAATTTTCCAGCTCTCAAACCTTAATTCTCGCTGTAGTGAGTAAATGCAGAGCCATCGAGCGGGCAATGAAAGCAAAGAAGAACTGACTGTGCTTCAGGATTTTGTTGGTGGTCAACTGGTCCATGTTGGAAGGCTGGAGAAGCTGGGCAAGGGATCTGCACATTTCCTCGTGAATAGTTTTGCGGCCATGGGATGAAATGTTCATGACATACTGGAATATAAGAGAAAAGAGTGAGGTGTGATAAGGAAAATTTAAATAATCCATGTTCATAAATTGAAGGGTAATGTCTCTGACTTGGGTGGTGGCATAACATGTTTATTTCACGCAGTAAAAATCAAAAGAACAAGGAACCACGATAAGCTGGACAGAAAGAAATATATACATAAAGCTAAGATGTAATGCTCATGTCCTGGCAAAAGAAGAAGAGACAAAAAAATTCTATCAAAGAGACAAAAAAATGGCATTATGATAACATGTCCTTTTCAAACTGAAAATATAAAGAAAATAGGCAATGTGGACAAATCTTAGAATGGGGAATGACACTATGAGATGCTCTTCAGGTACTATAGCAAAAAAAAAAATGAAAAAGGGTGAAGAATGGAGAAATGCTATAAATCAATTTTCCTTTTCTTTCTTCTACTTTTTCCCCCCCAAAATCCTAATCTTTGAAACTTTTATATATATATAACTATACTTCTTCAGTATCCAAATCCAATATATTCTTTACTCAAACTGCCAAATAAACAAAAAAATGTTACCTTTATGTATGAATTTAGTATATCATCTCGACCAGCTTCATACACCTGGTCTATGACATGCACCAACACACGCGTTACATTGGTCGCAACCTCAGCACCAGCATTCAGTAACACTCCTAGAAGTTGGTTCAGGAGTGTAGGCAGAAAGGCTATTATTGAGCCAACTTCAAGGGCATGAAGAGCCTGAAAGAGAAAAGAAAATGAAACAGAACATAAGAGATACAGTTATGTAATTCCAAGGGTTATAAAATACATCTGTTGTTCCTATTGTCATACTGCTGTTTGTAGTCAGATATTGTTATAATGGAACATTAGGAAAAAATATCAAAGACATACAGATAGATAGATTGATAGATAGATAAATAGATAGATAGATAGACAGATAGATGGACAGATAAAGGGAGAGATAGATAAACAGACAGATAGGCAACTACATATAGGGATAGATAGATCGATACATAGATAGACATAGATGGATAGATAGATAGATAGATAAATATATACAGACAAAGAGATAGACATAGAAAGACAGACAGATAGACAAATAGATAGATGGATGGATGGATGGATGGATGGATAAAAAAACATAGACAGATATATAAATAGATAAACAAAA